TGTAAGACAATTGAGAAAGGGCTGTGGATATTTCACATGTCCACTTAGGCATCTTGATCCTTGTCAGAAGGCTTTAGAGCTTTGTTTAAAATGTTTACTTCATTTAGTACTAGTGCTTTCCCGTTCTTCATTATTATAGCCCTAGTTCAGGTTATCTCAGAAATCTTTGAGAATCCATACTAGCTGTTCCACTTCTTGGCATAAATTGTTTCAAAATTTCAGTCCAGATCCTTGCATTAATTTTTCCCAAAATATGCATGGAGAGATTACTTAATCTGTAACAGGCTGATTTACACATCCTAGTAAAATAATGTTCTTCTTCCTGGCACTCTTAGCAGAGAAGCAAAGAGCTTATTGAAAACAAAGGGGGTGAAGAATATTCCTTCTGAGTCACAGAGCAAGGACTGTAGCACCTAGGCACTATCAACAGGAAAGTGTCAGTTTCTCTTCTCTGTACATTCTATTAATACTGTGAGGTTTTTTTATGGCTCCACCTCCTCACTGCTTCTGCACCACTCTATAATGCATTTATATTTTTTCAACAAAAACATATGATTTTTGTCATTTTTCTGTTTCTGATAAACTGTTGTCTGCTTGCCTGATTTTCTGTAGGTCCTCTGGGTTTGGATTATTGGAATATGCACACAGGCAGTAAGATTACAAGGTTTTGAGGCAACATGTAGTTTTATACCTGGATCGAGTTCTGCTGGTAACTAGAAAATTTATCTGTGGCTCCTCAGAAAATCAAATAGCAAATAAAGAGGACACATGGCATTTTCTCATTTATAGAAAGCTAGACTAAACAAAGGCATATAGAGATACTAATTAGAGCAGGTTAATTCAGTGAACATCCCAAGGCTGTGAAATTGCTGGGATTTTACATGCCCCTTGTTATATATACCAGCACTACATTACACAGAATATTTTAAAGGAAGGGCAAGATTTAGAGGCCATTAAAACCTGTTAATGGCATTCTCCAAGTCATGGACAAAAATCTGAATAATCCATACTGCAAATAATTGGCTAGACCAACACAGTGAGCAGTAACCACAGAATGCTGATCTTCTAAGCATCTTGTAAAGAAAACAAGACTATTACAGGTACACTGTACAAAGCATATTTTGACCCTTGCCACCTAATTACTGTTACCTTAGAACAGCAAAAAATTGACTTTAATGGGAGGTGCAGCGAAAGTTGAGTTGTAGGCTGACACCAATACAAGCTGCTTAACTCGGATAAGACTGTGTGGATCTTCTTACATTTAACCCACACTCCAAATTTTTGTGAGCAGATCTCTTTCAGTACTAGACACATTTTATGGCAAATCATCCTTAGAATTTCTGACTAATTCTAATGACCAATGTGGTCCTACAAAAGTCACAGTTTACAAGTCAAAACTCCAGAATGATAGCCAAGCACTGAAGAATGATAGATTTTGACAATAGTCAGGAAATGGGATGAAGCTCTGAACTCAGTGACAACTTTCTGTAGGTCTTTCCTATCCCATTTTAAAACCTTAAGATATTATATTCATCTCATCAGCTGGTGGTGTCAAGTCATCAGGACCAATTTTCTGCTTAGTGCATCATTGTCTAGCTCTAAGGCTCAAAATCAAATCACAGCTGCATTGCTCCACTATTGGCAACAGCAGAAATGAGAATTCAAGTTACTACTTGTTTGACATGGCCTCCAAAACTTGATCTCCTTTATGCTTGAGCAAGGATCCCACTGCCACTCGGCTCGTGTGGCTGTTCTCCCCGGCAAGTACATCTGAACATCTCACTTCCTTTCTACAGAATCACAGTGGTGCTGAAGGCTAGCTGGTTCTCCAAAAAGCCAAACCAGCAGGAAGGATAATAATGTATAAGGCTCTGGCTTTGAACTTGGGATCTATAAATAGACTTTCTAAAAAACCACAACAAATAACTGCGTGTCAGACTTGCAGATGTGCATAGATTTCCATCTTCATTGGAAATTTCCATGGATCTACAAGCTAAAGAGTTTGAAAACCACTATTCTAGAGCTATTACGATCATTTCAACTCTTGCTATCCAGTTCACATGCAAGTTTATCCTAATATTCTATGGAGGAGTCTCAAGCATGGGCCTCAGCATGAAATAATTATGCTTATAGCTTGGCATAGGGACTGTGAAATCGAGTTCTGTATAGCACAGACTTCACTTCCAAAGTTTTTCCAACTGCAGCAGAAAGTCTGCTGTACTTCCAAGGCAGTTGCTGCACCTGTGTACAGTCCTCCCATGGAAGTGGGTGGGAAGGGCTGCACATGGATGTTCAATATTGTTCAATGCAGAAGTTTACAGGATACATATTTCTTTGAATCAGTGAATGTCTCGTCATTGCAAGACTATTTGTTTAAATGAAACTGCACAGACGAAGGCCTACAGAACCTTTCTTTCCTTCTTTATCCTCCTCAAAAGATCACAAGCCACAAGGAATATTTTTGCAGCTAAGTAACAGTAGACAGCAGCCTTCACAAGCAGAAAAGCCTGGTTACAGTCAGGCAGGCAGAGTATTATGAAAACACTGTAAAGTGATTACACTATAAAACTGTAATCCATTATAAGCACCCATGAAAGGGAAGAATGCTGGAATGAGACAACAAACACAGCATAAGAACAATGTCTCCAAGTAGGTATAAAAGCATATTAACTACTCTGAAAATTCAAAATCATTATAGATAATGTCTTTAAAAAAAACCTCAGAACACAACACAAACTAAGCACTCATCTGAAGTAGTGCATGAGGCAAATAATCCATAGCCTTGTTTACAGGTACACAAGCACCACAGTTGCCAAGAGAATCAACCCTCATTATTGAGCACCAGTTTTATATTCCTCCAGACAAAATTCAGCCTACTAGGCCATTTGTTCTGTAAGGGAAGAATTTATGCCCACCCCAAGACATCTAAAACATAATTTCAGTAAGGTTCAACTCCAGCAAGTCTAAAGCACTATATTTTCGTAACCAGGAATTCAGGGATGAAGGATGTTATGTTAGTCACAAGCTTCTGTTTTACGCAAAGATCCTTCTTATCACAGAGGTAGCACTGAAATAACAGAAACAGAACTAGATACTAGGACACTACTTGCATCTCTCCTGCAACTTCTCCCTTCATAAAATAAAGATGGCTAGTTAGGAACTTTTGTTAAACCGATTCAGTCTGACCTGCATTTTTGCAGAGATTAAGACAATTATATTTGGCCTGTCAAATCTCACTTTAAGAAAAAACACTTACTTTTGAACAACTAAAGGCAGTTCAAGTAGTTTTTATGAAAAATTCTGCAGTAATGTTTCAGCATTTAATTAATATCTTACATCTGTTTATATATATGATGAAACTGCCAACCTTACCCCAATCTGCCTGAAATAGATTTAGTTCTGAACAAAACTGAAACCTACTAAGGATTATCCTGTTTACGAGTTTTTACAAGGTGCATTGCTTATGTTTTTCTCACCTTATTAAATTATATTCTGTGTCAGAATAGCCATATTAATCTTCCAAGGAAAGACATTAGAATACCACTGTGTCCATCTCAACATCTTTCCCAGTCTACAGTTTACCAGATTGAGCACACCTCAGGCTTGCAGAAATCCTTGTACCAATGTCCTTTCAGACCTGCTGGGTAAGTGATCCAGTGCTGCAATGGCAGGTTACACTACATGAGCTTGCAGCAAATGCAGCAGTGTGTGTACGTATGTACTCAAGGGAGTCAGAAGCATTCTCCTTCCTGAACCAAGCCTGTAGCTTTCACTTCACACCTCATTAAAAGTTCCTAATTCACTGCAAAAGCAAACAGGAAATCCCCAGTGCAGTCAGCTGTGGGCAGTGCAACTCATGCATGACTAAGCCTTCCCCTACCCCCACCAAGGCAAAGGCAATAGGGTGCAAGGGCCATTCCTCACCTTCCAGAAGCTAGAAGCAGAAGTGCTTTGGAGTGCTATTATTCCCTACACCCCCCCTTACTTCTCATTTTCTGAGGAATAACATAAGAAAGCAGTCTCCAGTGAACCTCATATAATTTTTAATAATTAAGTGTGCAAGAAGAGGGAAACTAGAGGAGACAAGGACTGAAAGTAGCTGCCACAAATATCTCTACTCTCATTTAATCCTATATGTGTACAGTTACAGTGTTGCTCCAGACCAAGGGGTTTTACATGATTCAGTAAAGGCTGGGTAAAGATTGTATAGCTAAGAACAGAAAGAGGTTTTTTTAAAGAAACAAATATACTATCTAAGGTTTGGGTAACAGCAACTGCAAGACAGGAATGTGAGAAACGTTGGACTAGAGAATGAAGGACACAACAAGATAGCTGAAGAAACACACCCCTGTTTGACAGCTGGAAGTAGACTGATAACACTGTAAGACATCCAAATTTTAGGGAGGAACATTAGAAGAGACACATAGTAGTAAGACAGCCAAGCACTTTGCTCATTAACACAAGATGGCACAAGGACAGAGATTTGACTGGTTTCAAATAAGGTAAGTGGAGAGGCTAATAAAACATACTGCCATTACTTGTATCAGAAGCTTGAATAAAGTGTCAGTTACTAAGCCCACTTTGTCTTTTTGAGCAGAAGACTCTCAAAGCTTGAATCTGACTGTTTACAGAATACAAAAGTCAAGCAAAACAGATGGAGAAAAATATCCCAGTAACCCACTCCAAAGCCTCCAAACTCCTGCCACAAGATGGTAACAGAAAAACGCAACCGTTAACACCATCTGAGACAGAAGAACAGTGTAGGTTATAGCTCTGTTGTATGATTTCTTTGCAGAGGTTTTTCTGGACTGAAGTGGATCCAACCTAACCTAGCCATGTCCTTGCACATGTATCATCCAGCATGGCTTTAGACAAGATGAATCAACACATACTAAAGAGACAGCTATCATTTTCACATATAAATGCATAAGCAGGAAGATTAAAATAGTGAATTATTTTAGAAGTAAACATGAACAAACATACTAAACCAGATTTTTTTTGTAGTTTAAATCATTTTTATTTGTGAGGAACGTCACCCATGCTGCACAGTTTCAAATAGATCTTACCAAGGAAAGCAGAAGTTTCTCCTCCCTCTGTCCTGCAGTTAACAGGACTGGCACAGAAAAAAAAACTCAATCACACCTGGGAGGTTTAGCACCAGCATCCAATAAAAAAAGCATTTGATTTAAATTTCAGTTCTTTGCTTGGGTTTTTTTTCCCTTTTCAGTTTGATACCAAAAGAAAAATTTAAGAATTCAGTACTAGGAAAACAGTGAAATTCTAAAAAAAAAAACCCAAAACCATCCCACAGTTGCTGTTGAAGCTGGGGAGGTTGTTCTTTCTGAATCTCACTCTCTCTCTCTTCATGCATCTGTCTTGCAGGCGTTCCCTGGATCTCAGCTGCTGGTAATTTTTTTTTTCTTTTAACTTCTGATGTTTCAAATCTTTGCTTTCGTCATCACTGTTGACAATTTATTGCTTGTGTGTTTCTTTGGTGTTAATTTTGAGTTGTATTTTAGGACACCTGTTGGAGAGCCAAATTTGAAAAAAATGCAGTTTAAGTTTCATTTCCTGTTTGAAGAGTTAGAATAGGATAAGTATGACTGGCTTATCCTGTCTGTAAGCTGAGTGTAGTCATCTTCCTAAAACAAAATATTACTAACCCATCAGCAGATGCTATTAGTATACAGACCAGATAGATCATCCTGAAAAATCATAATTATAAAGCAGAATTTAATTTGTGACAAATAGACACACAGAGGCAGAGGAAAGAAAAGCAGCAGACTGTTCTTGGTTTGCCTATACAGCACTCTCAGAAGTTATCACAAATACCTAGCCATACGTAAGGGGATGGGGCCAGAGTCCAAGTTCTAGAAGTATACACAATGCTGCTTCAGTTGGAGAACAAAACTATCTATATTCCTTACCTTAGGGATGGTAGAGGTGCCTGAGGAGCCAGACATTACTCAGCACCACTCTGCTCGGTCACGGGAGCAGGATTTTCAGCAGGTGTTTCAGTCACCTTAGTCTGAAACACAATAAACCTTTATTATAGGCAAAGACTGACCTTCCCACCCTTCCTCTGTTCAGTGGTAGGGCCAGTATAACCCAAGTTTTAAAATAATCAATGAAGGTAAATCCTCAGAAAATATTAGCTATAGGAAATATACTAAAGTTTAAGTATTGCACAGCAGATTCTGTTAGGGGACAGCTCAAGCAGATACAGAATGAGAGAGTCTTTCCTCATTAAGGCAAAAGCTGTGTTTGCAAACAGTTCCCTGAAATCACCTGGTTCAAGCAGTTCAGGAAATGGATCTGGAGCTTTCAAATCCATCTCTTATACTACATACAAAGTGAAAGTTTCAGGAAGCTGGAGAACACAGCTGTTTCTCTCCACTTCAAAAATATTTGTTACTGTCTGAGCCCAATTTAGAACCACCCAGAAGCAATCCCTATCTCACTACTGGTTCCATTTCAGATAAACTTCTCATTCTCAAAGACAGCCATAAGGAACAGACAATGAAACCAGCTACCTTCAACCATCAGCACTTTGGACTTGGCCATCAGACTCCTCCAGCACACCAATACACTTGTTAAACAGCTCCCACAGGACAGAAGGTCTTGAGCATTCACATTATCAAAATTCTGTCTCTGACATGTTTTGCCAGGAGCATGCTTACCTCTTTCCCATCCTGAGCTGGAGCATTGGGTGGCCGAGGTCGACGCCGGTAGTTGTATGGGCGCCTATACCCGCGGCGAAGTGGCTGCTGACTCACAGCATTGGCCTCGTGATGGTTCTCTTTGTTTTCAGCCTCTCCAGCCACAGGGGCAGGGCGCGGACGCGGAGGCCCTCTGAAGAGGGTGAGAAATATTAAGTATGAGAGAAGCCCAAGAAGGTTAAACTACCATAATTTTAGCCCAGCAAGAACCTCTGTAACCAAGTACTATCTTTAACAGTTTTGAAAAATGTATGAAGTCCCGTTAACCATGTGGGATTCACCCCATGGCATGCAAAAGCTGAGGTGCCTCATTATACTTGATGTGGTGCTATTCCTGACTGCCCAGCGCTAATGAAGACTTTCAGATATAATTTATTCAGCTCAGATCTCTACAAGCAGCAGCATCAGTATTACCCCATTTCCCATAATCCTGGATAAGAGAGCCAACTTTGACACAAACATTCACAGATAGGAAAGCTCAGAGTAGAGGTGGAAGGCTTGTGGTTCTAGACCCAGCATCCAGAAGGATGGATCCATCTTGCACGGAATGGGTAGTCATTACAATTTATGACAATCTTATTATTCCTAAGAAATCCAGCTTCTTATTGCTCTTGCATTGTTATTTACTGCATACTATTTGTTTTTGAACAAACGTGCATATGAAAAAAATGGGATTACATCCCCTTCATAGTTCATATCTCTTAATTCCATGTTGGAACTTGACCCCTTAAACAAACTGACACAAAGACAAGGACAAGACGAAGAGGAACAAGTGAGTGAATGGCAGACCAATACAAATCAGCTCCTTGAGAGCAGAGTCATAGAACAGCTTGGGTTGGAAGGCACCTTTAAAGTTCATCTAGTCCAATCTCCCCTGCAATAAGCAAAGACATTTTCAAACAGATCAGGTTGCTCAGAGCCCCATTCAACCTGACCTTGAATGTTTCCAGGGATAGGGCACCTACTGCCTCTCTGGGCAACATCTTCCAGTGCTTCACTAGCCTCATCATGAAGAATTACTTCCTTACATCTAATCTGAATCTACCTTCTTTTAGTTTAAAACCATTACTCTTGTCTTATCACAACAGGCCCTATTAAAAAGTCTGACCTCATCTTTCTTGTAAGCCCCCTTTAAGTACTGAAAGGCCACAATAAGGTCCCCCCAGCACCTTGTCTTCTCCAGGCTGAACAACCCCAAATCTCTCAGGCTGTCCTCATAAGAGAGGTGTTCCATCCCTTTGGTCATTTTTGTGGCCCTCCTCTAGACCCACTCCAACAGGTCCAGTGCCAAGGACTCCAGAGCTGGACACAGTACTCCAGGTGGGGTCTTACAAGAGCAGAATCACCTCCCTCAACCTGCTGGCCACGCTTCTTTTGATGCAGCCCAGGATATGGTTGGCTTTCTGGGCTGCAAGCACACACTGTCAGCTCACATCCAGCTTTTCATTCACCAGTATCCCCAAGTCCTCCTCAGCAGGGCTGCTCTCAATCTCTTCATCCCCAGCCTGTATTAATACCAGGGGTTGCCCCAACTCAGCTGCAGGTCCTTGCTCTTGGCCTTGTTGAACATCATGAGGTTCATGTGGGCCCACTTCTCAAGCCTGTCCAGGTCCCTCTGGGTGACACACCTGAGGGACAGGATGCCAACCCCATCACTCAACTTGGGTGTTGCCTGCAAACTTGCTAAAGGTGCACTCAATCCCACTGATGAAGATATTAAACAGTACAGGTCCTAATACGGACCCCTGAGGGACACCACTCATCACTGATCTCTACATGGACACTGAGCCATTGACCACTATCCTCTGGATGTGACCATCCAATCAATTTCTCATCCACCAAACAGTCCACCCATCAAATCCATCTCTCCCATTTAGAGAGACTGATGTTGTGGGAGACCATATCACAATGCTTTATGAAGAATACCAGTGAAAGTAATCCAGTGTTTTATTTAACTTGTCACTCATTCTCCAAGATAAAACAAGTCACAAGAAGCCAAGAACCTGAATGAGCTTTTTCACTTAAAGGAATTCAATTAAATAAAAAAAAAGTGAGGCAACATCTCAAAAGGTATGACAGTCAGGGCTGACTATTTCACACTGATATTTTTAACTGCATCGAATTTCTCAGCTATGGAATTGTTCCCTCACAGTGTACAGGCTGGAAGCTGGAGTGGTCATGCCAGAACTAAGACTGGAAAATGAAGAAAACAATCTTACACTGGACAGTTTAAGGTATGACTAACACATATGACTCAGCAACTTACTCTGCATATCCCACTGTGTTAATATGAACTCCAACAGATCTTTGCTAAGAATAGCTTACTGGCTCTTCCAAGTGTCCATTTATCCCAGTTCTATAGATCCCTAGGGAAACATAATGACCAGGAAAACTACTTCCTAAATAGCCTCCCAGCCTCCAATTGGTTTCCACAATGGGGATTTCCTGAGCCAGATGGAGTTTACCTATTCTCTTCTAGTTATTTGACCAGTCTTCCGTAAGCACATGCAAACTTTTAACATTGCCAACATCCCGTGGCAAAAAGCTCCAGCAATCTGCTGTCTGCTTAACAATCCAATCCAGCAACCTGGACATGAGTCAGCAGAGTACCACTGCAGCAACAAAGACCAAATGGATCCTGGGCTGCATCCACAGAAGCATTAGCAGCAGACAGATGTGAACATCCCACTCTACTTAGCACTTATCAGGCCACACCTGGCATCCTGTGTCCAGTTCCAGTCCCCACAATTCAAAAAGGAGGCAGACAGACTGGATATAGTTCAAAGGAGGGACAAGATATCAAAGGGCTGGAGAAACTGACCTATGAAGAAAGACTGAGGGAGTTAGGTCATTTCTCTGACGGAGTGACAGCATCGGTGGACAAAGAAAGGGTGATGGATGTCATCTACCTGGACT